CAATTTTCAAAGCTATACAACACTTGCATTCAGACGGTAATTCTATACTGTAAGAATCTTCTGAGGTTTCCCCTGAAAAAGATCCCTTTACAGTTTACATTGATCCTTTACATACTTACTCACTTAATACTTTTTTTTCGCCATGAGTAATGATTGAAACACCTCCAATAAAAAAAATATATAATATATATTTTTTTAATGTGAAGCCTGACCGAGACTCAAACCTTGGACCCTCGCTATACTTTACTGCGGCTCTACTGACTAAGCTATGTGGCCGCCTACAAACTACCACCCCTCCCCAAATTCATGTAATTAGAGAACAACTCAATACCATAACATAATCATTTTCGGAATAATTTGGGATTCGAACACAACGCAACTTTGGGTCTCCTAATGAGTTTTTCAACATCATTTTTTACCCCATCTTACTACTATGTTTACCTTTTAGCCCTACATGTTCTGGAATTTCATTCATTACATCCATTATCAGGAGATAATTTGCTTATCTGTTACTTGTCATTGTGGGTGGTCTGAAAAAATCGGTACGACAAGATTTTCAAAATAGAACATGTCCTATCCCTTACATCTCGACATAAGGTTTCCGAAATCAAGAAATAGTAGCATTCACACATTAACATTTGTCTGTACATCTTAGTTTTATTTGGTGTTGTACTTCAAAATCCTACCGTCTGTTGAGGCCTTAAGCTTACCAACAATATCAACATAATTTTTTATAGTAAATCAAGAAAAACAAGAATGTGTATAAGGTTTAATTAAATAATGAGAAAATATTTTGTATTAGAGGATGTGTTGGGTATATTCGTTATCATTTATTCCAAAGATATAAACCAGTTGATGCCAGTATCATATTTGTAATTTTTATTTTTTTCAAGATATATCCAAAAACACAAACAAAAGTAATTTTAACATTGAATGACATTGAATGTTTATGATCACGACATATACATGGTAATTGTCTTTTAATTGAGTTCCTTAAAATAAAACATTGGCATATTAATAATAGTTTTGATAAAACACATGACTCTTATATATAAAACATTAGTATATTAATGATTGTTTTGATGAAACATATGGTTTTTATATATTCATTTTATCTGAACGAAATGTACATGACTTGTCTGTTTAATCAGATATGATATGTTGACGTACTAGTTTTCTGATATTAATAATTCTGATGAAACAAATGGTTTTATAAAAATAAAATTTTAAAATTTTAATTAACAGTTGAATTGTTTGAACAATTGTCTGTTAAATGGGATATAAGTGGAAACGTTAATTTTCTGATTTCATGAAATATATTATTATAACAGACAAAAGATAATTGTTTAATGTATTTAAAGAACGTCGGGGATAGATTGTCAATACACTTTGTTAATTTATATGCTAATGATAATAGCAATATTTAAAACTAAGTCAACACTATAATGCATATGATGTTAACAAAAACATAACTCGAATATTTGAATTTATTGTGTTCCAGTCTTTTGCGTTTGACACAATGGGTATTTTATATGATTATTATTTTGCATGAATATATAGTCCTTGCTTATCATGTAATCTCACGATTACTACAGAGATCACTGTTAGTAGTACAGTTTTTAGTATATTTTACTCAATTATTAAGTTGGGAGTGAAACATGACTAATGTGTCTAAGTATTAGAAAGTACTAGCTTTGAATATCACTTTTAAAATAGCAGTCAATACAATTGTCATCAAATGTCATCAAAATACATTTGATATTCACTTAACCGCTAGACCATATTTTTATTATTTCAGTTTGTCGATAATATGTTAATAGAATGTTCCTGATTATAGCAATAAAGTGATTCTGTCTATCTAGTCGTAGATATATTTGTTAAGTCTAAACAAACATCTGGGCGACGAAAAAATTTTTTTTTTCAAATTAAATTTCAAAAGGAAGGATCACGGAACAAAATGATGGCATTAAAAGATAGTAACATTATGCATGTTATATGAGACACAAGCTTTACTGCATTTGTTTACACAATGTACATATCACTAGACATATTAAGACAATGATGAAATACATTCATACGTATACATACAAACAGAAAACATAAATTTGATTTTGGACATGACGTTCAAGAAGTGTGCAAACTACAAGGCTCTTACAGAAAAAGAAAAGAGAAAACAACAACATTAAAAGAAAATAAAAACACGAAAATTCCATATAAATTTATTTCATCATATCTTTAAACGACAATCACAGTCAAGTAAACTTGCATTTTATTCAAATCAAATATCAGAAATGTATTAATCGTTAGTGCCGCTTATGAAGACCTCCTTTAATCGAAAGAGATTAGCCTTTCTTACCACCAGTCAAGTCATCCTGAAAAGAATTAATCGTTCACAAGTTAGTTAACATCTCTTATGAATAGTTTGTTAGGTTGATAACATGTATTTCAGATATATAATTATTTTAAATTGTTTCATTCGGAATAAATATTTTTAATAAAAATACGAGCGCGTATAAGTACTTTAGAATTGTTTTAAAAGATAATAATAATTTGTCGATGAAATGAATAATATATTCAAGGCAATTTACGTACATCTATCTGTAAGTTGTATCTTTACAAGATATTTAAACACCTGTGGTAATTTAGTTATATTTAGTAATATTATTCTTTACACGCCTTCCGTAAATCTATTTTTACATATATCAATCTACATTTTGATAAAGGATTGGAACACCTGTGATTGATTTATGAATAATAAATAAAATATAGAGTAACAAATGTTTTTTAACCGGACTTCAGGCAATTAATATTTATGTATTTCTATTTACATCTTAGTAAGATATTTGAACAGCAGTTATTTGAATATAAATCACAGAAATATTTCTAGAAGTTTAAATATAAAAAAAACTTATAATAATCGTATATAGTAACATATTTTTTGATAGCAATTAACATATCATTTATGTTTCAAAATATAGTAACATTATTATTACTAAAGAACTTAATTAAACTTCTATCGATTTTAAATAATATCTTAGACTGTATAGTGCTCGACAAGAGCTAAAGTTTGAAAAGGGGGAAACGAAAAAAAACAACCCCTTCCCCGAACCCTCTGCATTGAATTGTTTTTGTTGTTGTTTTTTTTGTTCTGTTTTGTTATAGATTTATAGATTTAATATTAAAAATCTTGGCTTTTAATTGTTTATTTATTTTAGAGGAAATACGACACATTTTTTACTTTAACATATCCTACAAACACGTTCGGGGAGATGAGAAACAAACAATCATCCTGCTAGAAAGCACCTTATTCAAACTATAAAAAATAAAGATCCATGCCTCCTGAAGAGCCAAAATCAAATATGAGCAAATCAAGATTTTAAGAAAATAAGGAAAGAGTCAAAATTCAAGTAATAATTCACATGTTATGTGCGATTAATGACTACGGATTCTTATTGCGTAACTAACGCAGTAAAGGTATTTTTTTGCATATTTTGATCACTGTCTGGTAATTAACGTAGATTGTAAGTGTTGTTTGCAATTTGTAAATTATTTTCTTTGCTCACTTGGCAATAGTTTACATTTTAAAGACGTTTTCGAAATTTTCATATTTTTTCATGAAAATTCGCATATTACAGGCATGTTGATTTAGGACTACGGTAGTTGACGAGACAGTCATTTTAAAAATCACTTATAAACTTGTCATCGACATGTATATATAATCAAATAACTTCATTTATGCCTCAGAAACGAATAAAGTTTTCATTCTTAGAAAGAACAATCATACCTTGTGTAGCTCTGTAGCTTGTAAGATGCTTATTACTTAAATAGGTTTAGCTAAATGTGGAAGTATTTGTCAAAAAGGTAGCAAAATGTAAACAAATAAGTAATTTGACTTCTTTACAAAATACTTAATTACTAGAATTGTACTTATTGCTAGAAATATACAAACAGAAGTAAAAGCTGATTCAGCAATTTGCCAGTGACTAATGTTTAGAGACTATATAATGGGAAACCAGAAATAAATAGTTAAAAGCATACTCGAGCTTCATTGGTAGGTCTTTACAGCATATCTATTTTACATAAAATGTGATGATTTTTTTCTTAATATTATTTCAAAAAATTTCTAATTACTTGCATTACTTATAATGGAGATTTATTCGCGATTCCACAATGATTCGAGCCCATGTTTCCTAGGGTTGTACCTTTTCTTTTTGCGTTATATAAAGACTCAATGAAACAGAATTTGCAATTTTCATGTAATTTTGATGTTTTTAATGCCTCCGATGGATCACTTTTTCCAGATATTGATAGACAGACAACGAATAATTACGCCTCTTCTACCGGAAACAAAATTTTAACATTTGTACTATAAATTTGCAATTTTGTCGTGACTTTTATGTCTCTTTTGGCAATAACTATGATCTGTGTCATTTGCTCAACATATGATACTAGATATATTTATACGTTATCTAGAAATAATACTTTCATAATGTTTTAAAAGCTAAATTTACAACACAAATAAATCTACAGACAAAATGAAAGTTGATGTTATGTTTATAAATACATATATTGCGCACAATACATATGTTAAGATAGAAAACAATTACCTTCTTTTCCATATACATCCAACATGAAAACAAATTCAGCTAATTTGACAATTGATCAGTAGCGCTATTAACATCAAACTAATATTCATAAGGGAATAAGTATAAAATTAGCGTCAAACAACATGCGTATGTAACATCTGCTAAGGTTATTTTAATACACCTTATCAATAAAGATTATACTATTGGTTGATTACAATCATACTTTAACCAATAGATATACATTCCAAAATTTGAAAATTACCATCATCCAAGCAACCAATCATATTCCATTTTCTCACACATTAATCAAATGAAATATGTGTAATAATTAAAAAATGGAAATTTTAAATGTCCAATCAAATTGTTACACATCAAAAGCTTTTGCAATAAATTGAGTGAATCTTTACAAATTGAACCATAACACTAAAGCATCGGAAAGGAGTACTTTTTAGTGAATTATTTGCTTTAAATTGTTTATTCGAGATGAAGGGTGTGTTTTTGCCTCTCATAGCATTGATACTTTATGTATCTTCAGTGAATGCAAGCCATGGTACAGATGTTTGTGAGTATTGTAAATCATTTTATGGCATTTATTGAAGTGAATATTTTAATAAAATTGACAATGTTAAAGTTTGAAACAGGAATCAAGGTTAAATTTTTCTTTAGTGCTAACCAATTTTATAATGAGACAATGAAATTACATAAAGGGAAATAATATATATTGTTATTAAATACATTTCATTTGACGTTTACATATCTATTTATCGACGTTAATGGTAAGTGACCAGTACTGGATTGAAGTCAAGTGACAGCTCAGTAACAGCATTTACTTAATTTATGTTAGTAGAGTTATATGGGATGTAACAATATCAAATTCGGGACTTTTTTATAAAGGTGAAAACCAGTTCCGTACAATACTAGTACTAGTTTATATTAGGAGCATAATGATAAGTAATATAATTTATATACTGTATATTTTAGTTTGTGGAGAACACATTGACATAGTCCCTAATAATGAGGTAGAAATTACAACTCCAAACTTTCCCGATAAGTATCCAAACAGAGTTAATTGTACATGGACCTTCTGCTCCGTGAATCCAAACATAATTGTTTTGGACTTCTTCATATTTCAACTAGAACAAGATAGCGACTGTGACAGTTTTGATTATGTCAATATTTATGACGGTAAGTTAATTTCTACACATACATCTCTAATCGTAAGAATTTATTTTTTAAAAAGCTGATTGGTCTACAATAGACATATTTAACATAGTTTTTATGTTTTTGGATAGTCTTATAAAATAAGTCTTGAAAAAAAGCTTTTTCATTTTCTTTTCTTTATTCAGGCGAATACATAGGACCAAATCTTATTGCAACATTTTGCGGTGATAATTACTGTGAAGGATACCAGACTGGATTTTACCCATTTGAAGAAGTTGAGAGCACAGGAAGATGTATGACCCTCTACTTTCATACAGATGGTTCCGTCCGACACCTAGGTTTCCTAGCAAGGATTAATTCCATGCCTGGTATGTAATGTGTTATATTATCACACCCTTTACTATGCTTATAAAAGAAGTTACATTAACAACTCATATGTCTGGTTTTTTTCTTCAAATAGGATAAATCACAATATATGTGAGACTGAAAATATCTCAAGATAAATCGTTTGACACACGTGTATGTTTCAGTCATAAAGTTAAGCAATGTCAAATCGTTTAATGTCTTCTCAAGATAATTATTATATTTTAAGGATTTACTATGGGAATGATAACGGAGATGAAAAATTTGATCGGCTCAAATCAATGAATAGATTAGTTTTTTATGTGTTCTGTAGTTAAATCCGATGAGAAAAATTTAACGATACATGTATGCAAATCATATAAATTTGTTCTCAATACCAAATCGTGAACAAGAATATGTGTCAATGAAATCAAGCATCATAAACGCTAAATTAAATTACAGGTGAAATAGATATTTATTCAATGCCATTAGTTTTTAAACAAAATAATATTATATAATGCTGCCACGGATTAACTGCGAAAAGGCTAATAGTCACTTACTATTTCAAATTCTAGCTAAAATTTCATCCTTCTCTTGTTGATGAATTAATGATTTTTTTTTATTTTCAATGCCAAACAGCGGGCGTAAGTTTAATTTTCCTTATACATTTGTCTATGTAATCAATTTTAACAACTAAATAATTTTTTTAGTCCATTGTTATATTTTGTAAAATGAATTACATATATTTCCGAATACAAAACGGATTTTAAATATTTCATTTAATCAAAATTCAAGATTTTATATAAGAAATTTCTCATGCTCATGTTTCAGATAAATTTTGAAAATAAACCTTACAAATCATACTTGCAACTTCAGTTTTAAATCTTGAAAATAAAAAATAATGAATATTTCCAACTAATCTAATAAATAAACCCTTTTGTACAAAAACATTATTTAATTAGTTATGTTAACTTAATTTAGATTCATGTTTATCTAGAATTCGTTCATAATGTTGGTGAGATTAGCTACTTGTAACACTTTAAAAACATTTGCCCTTTTTAATTTTAGTCAAGCCGCAGGCGCAGAAATAACAAAGTGGATGGAAAACAACAACAATTTCCTAAGTACAAGAAAGATACATAAAAGAGATATATTTCAGATGAACCATGCTTCATGTGTATTTATAATATACAAATACTTAAGATATCTTAAATGTGTGAATAATTTGAATAAAACGTTCAAACCTTACATGCTTTTTATGTTTTTTAGTCAAAAGGTTCATATTGTTGTATCGTATTATACATTTTAATAGTGGATCTAAGTTTTTACAATTTTCTTGTTAGCTATACAACAAGGATGTCTCAAAATACATATAACATTTTTCGGACAATCGATGTTAAAAGGGGAGAAGGTGATATTTTGTCGACATCTATGCAAAAAAGATCCTTTTCTAAAACAGTGCAACAGCTGTTGGTGTCTAGGTTAAATGGTAAAGCGATCTTATGTTATTTACTTTAATAAAGCTACGAATCTAAACAAGGAATCTATAGAATACAATATTGCTATTAAAAAGATGTGGTATTATACTCAAACACAAGAAATTAGTGTAAATAAATAAAGTTAATCACATAAAATGTTTAAAAGATTATAAATGACTTTTACTCACTCTCTTCCCCACCGTACTTGTAAATCTTTAAGAGCCACATGACATTGACAGAAGATTTGAAAACCTTGATAGGCAAAAGTAAATGTGACCGTACTTTGGAATCTGCGAAGTTGCTGTCGTTGTCAATACTGACACAGTTGGGAGTGGTCATAAAATGTAGACAGGGACGACGGCATGACTAGTGACATGTCCGAAGTCCATACTCGATAGCGAAAGCTACCTTTTGAGCCTTACCGGACAGATAGATCCTCATTAAACATAGCATTCTGACAATTACTATGGATATGATTAATGGTATATTTATAACAAATGTCACTTTTGAGGCGGAGTTTGTTAATGAATATTTTATTTCACAAATATGAGAATATACTTTAAGTTAAGGTACAATAGATATTTTTGATGAGTTACATTTTTATCCGACAAAGCCAAATATCCTTTAAGAAAAATAAAATAACAATATCAACTTGGGTTGAATACAATGACTGGTATCCAGTTTCAAAGGTATTTGAGCCGCGTCACGACAAAACCAACATAATGGGTTTGCGACCAGCATGGATCAAGACCAGCCTGCGCATCCGCGCAGTCTGATCAGGATCCATGCTGTTCGCTGTCAGGTTCTCTACTTGTTATAAGGTTTGTAAGCGAACAGCATGGATCCTAATCAGACTGCGAAGATGCGCAGGCTGGTCTGGATCAATGCTGGTCGCAAACCCATTATGTTGGTTTTGTCGTGACGCGGCTCATTTGTATAATACTGATTTTCTGTTTATTCAAATTTATAAAGTGGAGTAGGAGCAGACAGGTAGTTCCCTGGCCTGGTTTTATTTCATTATGGCTCCCTATTTTATTTGGAGAAGTTGCCGTACCTGAACAGATTCTTACAAGATTTCACTTATTTGGTGTTTTTGTCATTGTTTTATGATAATATATATATATATCAGACCACTAACCTATCGTACGACAACAGAAAAATGTTTTTTCTACAAGATAAATAATTAACGAAATACATGCTTTACAAATGATGATAATTTTTATGTTGATCATAACTGAAGCTAATAATAAAGACTAATATGATATTGAATGTTTATGATTATGATATAGGCATTGATAATGGTCTGTTCATTGAGTTCCTATAAATAAAACGTTGGTAAATTAATGATTGTTTTGATGAAACACATGGCTTTTATACATTCATTTTATAATTATATGTTGATTATCTTAACAGAATGTCAGTTAACACAAGCATCTTGACGACGAGAAGATCTTTTTAATTAAAATAATGGTCTGTTGTCTGTTAATTGAGTTCCTTAAAATAAAACTTTCCCCATTGGTATATTAATGATTGTTTTGATGAAACACATGGATTTTATATATTCATTTTATAATTATAAATGACTATCCGAACGAAATATCCGTCAATTGTCTGTTTTAATCAGATATCATTATTTGACATGCTAGTTTTCTGATATAAATAATTTTAATGAAACATATGGCTTTTATATTGTATATGGTGAATTATTTGAACGATATGTCAATCAATTTTTTGTTCAATCACATATAAGTTTATATGCTAATTTTCTGATTTGTTATTAGTCACCTTAAGCAAAAGACAAATCTTTAATTTATTTGAAGAGTGTCCTGTTGGGGATTGATTGTCAATAGATATTAACTTTGTCAATTTATTTTTAAATCTATCAATCTACATTTTAATGAAATATTTAAACAACTGTGATTAATTTATGAATAATATGTAGAAGCAGAAGTTGTTTAAACGGACTATAGACAATTTGCATTAACGTATATCTATTTTTATATATTGTATGAATATAAATCACAGAAATATTTCTCAAAATTCTAAGTACTAAAGAGCTTAATTAAACGTCTGTCGATTTTAGATAATATAAAAAATAAAGATAACATAAGTTGTTTACACGGATTTCATATAAAAAGGCTCTGACCTGGATTGATGACAATTACCATTTGTTTTAAAGTTTTAATATTTTGTTTTTCTTTTTCCAAGGAGTAAAAACCAATATGTAGGATTTGGAACTTAAATTCATCGGTTATTTTTAAATTCTGACCAAGCTCATAAAATACTTGTAAAAAAATTGTTATTTCATTGTAAGTGTATTGATTTACCTGTCGCCTTATGGATGCACAGTGCGTTTGCAAACAATATTTTACTTCTGTATCTAGTTAGACCGTATAATGGTCGACGAGGGCTAAAATTTCAAAAAGGGAAGATCGCTTGGGAGCAATGAAAAAACACCCCCCTCCAACACTCTGTATTGAATTATTTTTGTTGTTATAGTCTTATGTTTAATATTTAAGTTTTTGTTTTTGTTGTTGTCTTTTTTTATATTTTACTCTTTTAAAGTTTAAAAGATTTCACGATAAAACAATGTTACGGACGTGTGATAACATGTAGAATTGTTGATGGTCGGTGTCGACGATTTTAGAATCAGAAAATGTCGAAATAAAAGATACTTATCAAACAATATATGTTATTCATTGAGGACGATTAATTAATTTTGTTAAAAAACTGTAAATTCAGCTACGAGAAGATGAAATTTTGATATTTTAGTTATGTGCATTTGTTATATTAACATTTCATTTATTATGATCAATAGTTGGAAATTGTTGACTTCAATTATTTGGGAATAACATTGAATTACATTGGTACTTTTGCTTTAAATGTCTAACAGGCAAAGCACCCAGAGCAGTGCATTCAAGTTTTGATCAAAAGGTTCTTGGCCCAATGTACTTCCGGTAGTCAGAGAACCCAACTAATGGTCTTACTTTTCAATATAATCGCCCTCTTCATCAATGCACTTTGCCCACCTGTGCTCCAACTTGCTTAACCCTTTAAAAATAGAACTCGCTATTTTGGTCCTCAAAGAACTCATTGACCGCCTCCTTGACACCTTCATTGCTTCCAAAACGTCTACCACGAAGCTTGGTTTTCAGTTTCAGAAAAAAAAATGTGAAATGTAAGAATATCATCACGCTATCTATAGTTTGAACACCTACTAATTTTAGTTCGTCTATAAAGATTTAACTCTATAATGTCCAGAAATACCGGCAGTGATTTGATATTATTGTGAAAAAGTATGAATTGGAGTGTTCCTGGTAGGGACAATAATTTTCTTTTATGTAGATTCAAAGTGTTTCATATTATATTATTTTGAAGAGGAGATCGACTAGTGTAATAACGTTTTTATTAAATGGCTTTATTACACTCCTGCGCCCCGGTTTATGTGATAAATAAATATTTGGACTTGGACTCTTTTTACAATACATGGAGAATAAAAGTAAACAAAGTAATATTACTATATTGATGCAAAATATACAATATGCGGTATTTTTCT